AACAGCTTAGCACTTAAAGTAGACCGTTTCTTTGTCTCTGAGAGAACCTTTTAATCTGTCCTGAGATGGAGGGTTTTGCAAGTAGGCGCCTTTCAGATCCAGCATTTTGATTGGCTGATGCTGTCGGAGGTGGCCATGGTATGGCCCCTCTCTGGCGTGAGGTCCATTTGCATATGTAGCGAAGAAGGGACAAAGTCGGAAAGAAAAACAAGCTAAGATGTAGCGGACTATGCCACCCTATAAACAGGGAAATCAGTACTAATATATTAAATCACCCACAAAAAGGTCACACAGGTACGTGGTTTCAAAAACAAGGGCCGAGACATGAATACCAAATACAAAACTTTATTTCAATAATCGAGCACTAATTTAAAAATCATTAAAAGACAGTAAGACCCGGACTATGGCGAACAAAACACATATGAGAAGGAGACCGAGGCCTACCTATGGCAGGAGAGCTAGTTGATGAGCACCAGGCTCCTATGATCACAAAATCTTACCACCCAGTGCACAGGTCACACTTCATACACACAAGCAAAGCCAAACGTGAACACACTGCATTCCGTGCCACAGCCCCACCACCGTACTAAGGGCAACTAGTGACCTGCCCGGAAGCCTGGGCTCCTGTAACAAAAAGACAAAGTTAACAAACTGAAGATAATAATACTAACACATACAACTAAGCCAAAATACAAAAGTTCACAATTAATCCTTAGTTGAAAACAAACACCTACACAGGTTCGAGGTTTAACATCAAAATGAAGGTAGACACTCACACCACCTTCATATGAAAAAACAAAACAAGATATAAACGAATTACAGAGCAAAAATATAAAGAAAAATAAATCAAAATACAAAGCAAGATAGCAACCAAAAATAAAAAACTACTAACATGCAGGACAAGCAAATAAAATAAAATAAAAACGAATTTATGACCAAACAGATGCTAATAACCAAAATACACGAAAAAAGCAAGTTTAGATGAGAAAAAAAGGATTATACTAAAGACCACTTGCACAAAGCAGAACCAATGTAAAACGGAGTACGAAAAAAAAAACAGAAAATCCAAAAAAAGACACAAATTTAATGAATACAAACAAACATATGGAAAGCAGGTAAAAAAAACCAAATAAATAGTGCGAATGCACGTTAGTGGCAGGAAAACACACAAAGCAGCAGCATCAAGGAATGTTGCCCCGCAGGCTTCCTTAACACAGTAGGGCCCAACGTCAAACTATTCTTCCTACAAAAATTATATAAAATAATTTATCACATAAGAGAGTAGGCAGTAACAACAGTTGTTCTACATACCTTCATATTTTGTCACCATCATCATAAATCCAATCACACGCACCCGCGGACACAAACGCGCTGCTAAATCACATAGAGGACGTTGAGGGAAAGAGAAGGAGGCAGCCGCCAATGGTCACAATGATGATCGTCCATTGGAAAACTATAAACCGAATGGACTGGTTACATAAAACTACACATTGCAATGCCAAATAGTGAGCCAACCAACACATACCTGCAGGAACGGAAGGAGTGAAACCGGAATGGGCGGGCATCAGGCAGTGACGCACAAGCGGTGCTCGGACACTCAAATGGTGCCTTAAAAGTCCCCTTTTATATACTCAGGAAATTAGGTAATTGGACAACTCACGCATTCCGGGCATACTAAGATATTTAAAGAAACACTACACTGTACTGTTTGCCCCACGACACATAGCTTAAAGTCGACATTTAGAACAACGTCTTTAAGGTTTTTCTGGCTGATAAGGTTGATGTTCACTACACTATTAAGTTTGTACTTATTGGTCACTGCCTGTTGATTCAGTTGATTTTAGCTAGGGCTGATTAAGAGAACACTTAAATGTACAATAATAATAATAATGCAAGGCAAGCACATCACATGCATATATAAAATGAACTATATTTCAGCTGAATTCAGTATAGAATTTGGCTGATTCATAAAGTAAGTAGGTTATTTTCTACTATCTTCTGGGTTTGTTGGACTATTCGGACTACTCGGTTACAAAGTTCCTGTTTAAACTTTTTAAAATTAGTTGTAGCACATATCCCTGGTTTTTAGTATATATTTACTTCAATTAATGAACTAGTTTAACATGAATTTAACAGAGACTTTAACTTTTTTTAAAGTGTGCTATGTACATTCAGTTTAACAGCATTAAAGAAGGTGAACTTTATCATTCAACTGAAACGCACTGTTTTGAAGCTCCTTGCCCTGTATGTCTTCAATCTTAACAAATGTTATGATTGACTGGCATCTTTGCATTATAAATTGAGACAAATGAGGCATACAACAAAGCGATTCATGGGTGGAGAATGGGGGGTGCTTTGTAAAAGAACGTGGAGGTACAAGAGTACAGCATCACTGGCTGTTCTCTTCACCAGTGTTAGTGGGGTATTTACACATGGCTGCATCTCAGTCGATCAGATTGCTTTTCAACTGAGTTTGCATATGTTCTATTAATACTTGGTCACAAAGAATTGTCTCCGCAAAACAGATATAATTCTGATCTTCAATTCCCACGCTTTATGCAAATTCAGCAGAGTTCACTTCACAACAAGCAACGTATATGTTCTGTGCTGTATTGTGTTTATAATCAGCTAATTCACATTGGTGGTAAAATATAGTACTCACCCCTTTTAATGTAAAAGACTAGGTGTCAAGCTTCAGGATGCAACAATGAATGTTCATTTTCATTTGAACTGCATAAAAATCCGGTTCTTAATAAGTATAATATTAATAATAATAATAATAATAATAATAATAAATAGTAGTTTTAACAAGTTGTCAGATTCTGTTTCTGTCTTGTGTTGTGTTTTGTTCCCCACATTCTCCATGTTATGCTTATGCCCTTATTTGGTCCTTCCTGTTCCTGTTCTAATTATGTTTGTTTCATTAGTTCCAGGTGCGTCTCACCATCCCATCATCTAGTCCTGTGTATTTATAGTGAGCCCTGTTCTAAGTTTGGTCGTCCGGTAATGTGAATGTCTGTATGTGAATGTCAACCTCCGAATCTACGTGTTTTCCTGGTTCCCTTGATTTCATTAAATTCTCCTTGCTAATGTTCTCCACGTATCCTCGTTCCTCGCTCCATGCTCCAGCACAGTAGCGAAACGTGACAGAATACCGGACCAAGGACAGTAAGCGGCGCCCCCTCTCCCTGTGTTTTCTTTTCCATTTTTAAATGTGTTTTGGTTTTCCATTTGTTTACCCCCGAGATCATGGAAATCGCCGCTCGTTTCTCTACCTTAGCCCACCGAGATCTCCCCTTCTTCGAGTACGCCTGGGAATTCTGCAGGCTCACCGCGGCGACGGCATTGGATGACGCCACCATCAATTCTCTGTTCTGGCTCGGGGCCAACTAATATCGCCCCGAGTCAGAATCAGCCCGCCGGCCGCTCAGTAGACAAGCCCGCCAGCCGCGGCATTCTCAAGCCTGCCGGCCGCTCCGAAGTCAAGCCCACCGGCCGTGGCATTCCCAAGCCCGCCAGCTGCTCCTTAGTCAAGCCCACCGGCCGCGGCTCACTCAAGCCCGCCAACCATGCCTTTCACCCCGAACCTAAAGGGGAATCTAAGGAGGAGAAGGCGGTCGGAGCTTGCTCCAGTGTTGGCTCCAGCCCCTGAGTTTAGCCCACAGATGGCTCCTGTTCCTGAGTTTAGCCCACAGAGGGCTCCTGTTCCCAAGTTTAGCCCACAGAGGGCTCCTGTTCCCGAGTTTAGCCCACAGAGGGCTCCTGCCCCCGAGTTTATCCCACAGAGGGCTCCTGCCCCCGAGTTTAGCACACAGAGGGCTCCTGTTCCCGAGTTTAGCCCACAGAGGGCTCCTGCTCTCGAGTTTAGCCCAGTGAGGGCTCCAGTCCCCGAGTTTAGCCCAGTGAGGGCTCCAGTCCCCGAGTTTAGCCCAGAGAGGGTTCCAGTCCCTGAGTTTAGCCCAGTGAGGGCCCCAGTCCCCGAGTTTGGCCCAGTGAGGGCCCCAGTCCCCGAGTTTGGCCCAGAGAGGGCCCCAGTCCCCGAGTTTAGCCCAAGGAGGGCTCAAGTTCCCATGTCCTACCCAAGGAGGGCTCCAGTTCCCACGTCCAGCCCAAGGAGGGCTCCTGTTCCCGACAAGAAACGTGACACAAGTAATAATAATACAATTAAGACGTCATATTTTACAGTTTGTGGCAGTGTGCATGCTTGCTTGCTGAAGAAAGACACTCTTCTCCAGTGGGCCATATCTGTGGAGAAACGAGTCCCACACCTTTAAACATTTTTTTTGGGAGGTGGAGTAACAATTACATACGTGGCTTGAACTACCAGATGCATTTACACTTGGTCAATTGCATCTGGAATGTGTTTCAAACCACCTTCTGAAGTGGATGGAGTCAATACAGTGGTTAGGTGTCAGGATCTTGCAGCCCTACATAGGACTAGTGGTTAGGAGAATGAATGAATGGGTAAGGGTAAAGTCACAATTGCAATACATAAAGTCCCTAAACAACTTTTTGAGGTGGAAAAGGGCTTCCATATTCATCGGCTTTTTGAAAGGTTTTCAGTCCCACTTTAAATTAGGTGGCTTTAACAACTATGTACTCACATTTAAATTAATCATTTGATATAATGCACTTGTTGTGTACATACATGTTTTTACATTGTATTTATATTTAAAAAAAACACCTGCATGTGATTACATCTGTAACTATCTTCTGTAATTACATTTATAATTACACTGTTGACTCATCCCTTACACCTTAACCCATGCTTAACCCTACCATATCACCAAACCTGTCCCTAACCTTACCCGTATCCCACCGCAATGGCAGCAAAGGTGTTTTGCAATACAATATGAACACAATAAGTACATTGTACTTATTTTTTGATGTAAGTACATAGTAGTTAAGGCCACCTAATATAAAGTGGGACCAAGTTTTCTTTCAGGTTTTACCCTGTACTATCCATGCATAGTAATATATGTATGCTTTTTATTCTTCAGAGATCGGGCCATGGGACAGCATTTTCTTTCACCTTGGCATTGTCAGGTATGGAATATATTAATGATTGCTAAAATGTTTCTTTCAAAGTAAGGAAATGTCTCCAGTTACTGATATAACCTTGGTTCCCTAAGTTCTAAGATGAAGGAAATGAGACATTACATCAGTAGCATACAATTGCCCAATATTTTTTAGTCCACTTTACTTGGGGCAAATGCTGTTCATAAGGTGGCGGTGAACACCATTTTGTCAGATTCTTTCAACTGTTGAATAGAGATAGTGATAAGATCAATGTAAATGTTCACACACAGTAATGTGGCCAGCCTACATGTGTAACAGAAAACATTCCCCTTCGATTCTGGTTCACTCAACATTGCGTCAGTAGCTGACACTAGGGGAACCGTGTACAATCATGCAACATTACTGACGCAGAACGGTACCACTCCTCAAAGAGGTAAAGATAGCAAATTATTAAAGCTGCAAGCATGGAATATACCCGCAGTGTCACTGCCAGCGAATAAGCAGAGTTAACATCAATAACGGACAGCTGTATGATCACTGTATTATTACCGCCAGCTTGTTCTGACAGTCATATTAGCACTTTACAACAAAATAAGGTTGTGAAGACATCATTAGCAGCATACGGTTAGTTCTCCCACATAGTGAAGATCTGTAAAGTGAGAGAAGATACATTTGAGTTTGCCATTGCTACAGATACAGATTAAAATATTGGCTTTGATGCACATCCCTATAATGTGGTCTATTGAATTGCATGGCATTTCTGGTTATTAAATGTTTTCTCCCACCTAGTGAAAACATATGGTTGTAGTGTTAAATATTCTTTGTGGTATTCCAATTGTTCCAATTTTTTTGTGCTTAAATTGTCTAAATTATTCCAGTATATTTGTGTTTCTTAGTAAAATACATATGTATCTTTTTACACCTCTTCCCAGGTTTAGTGATGTGGACACACTTAACATAATACGTCTACTAATGCCAGATTTTGCTGTCTTCCTGTCTACACTGTTCATCCTTCATTGGTGTAAAGCCAAGAAGCCACATCATAGTGAAAACTGCAGGCACCTCTACAACAGTGAGGTAATGAGCAACTTGTAATTGTGTAAGTTGTAGAGCAGGGGTGCTTAGTGCTCTTCCCAGAGGCCCACCTTCCTGCAAGCCTAATCAAACACAATTAAGACAGTTGATAAAGACCTTTGGGCTTACTTGAAAATTACAGCATGGCTAGAACTAAACCTGCAGGAAGGTTGAATGGGGTTACATTTTCTTAATGAAATCATCCTAAACTTACTAGCTACTTTGTGCTGCAATATAAATGATCATAAGATATAAACTATTTTTACTGAAAGTATTTTTACACCTAAAAACAACTAACATTTTTAGTGTTGGCTGCTCTGTTCCTGTTTCCATATTTGACAGGGTTCAGATGGAGAAATTTCGGACTCAGAATGTGAAGGGGAGAGTAGAACATCTGAGGGTTCCTCCCTCGGCTCCTCTGTTAAGAGCCACACTTCTCCTCTCTCCTCTCCTGATGTTCTGCAAAAATGTATCATATTTTTGACCAGTCTGAGACTTCTTGTGTCTTCTGTAATGAAAACTGCTGGAAAAGTCTTGGTGGCTGTTCTGTTGGGGTTGGCAGGTAATGCATATAGATAGGAATGTGTGTGTGTATTCTGAAAAATTATCTATAGATGCAGTCAATGATCTTATATGTTTTGACAGGTATAACGTTTCCCTCGCTGACGTCAGCACTGTATTTCATGGTGTTTCTTGGCATTGTGTGGTGCTGGGTGTTAGACTATACCATCTCTCTGCTACACTTCAGCTCTTTGTGTGTAATGATGACCATCTTCAGTGGAGGACACATCCTTATCCTTTACCTCTACCAGCTACCTCTCATCCAACAGCTTATTCCTCCTCAGGATAGCTTTGCCAGGTGCAGTTCAGATTTCTACCCAGTAAACCTGTATCATTAAGTAAAGGTCAACATTATTCACATCAAGTATGCTGTACAAGCAAAAAAAAAAAAAAAAAAGGAACTTATTATAGTTACTTCATAATCATTTGTTTGGAAAAAAAAGTGTGATTTTAAAGCTTAGAAGCTTGGCTTTATAGTGAATATAGGGATTATGACCAACTCTTAACAAGTGAGTTCAAATTTGTTGAACTACAGTGGCCCAGTAGTGCACAACACAGCAAAATCTCCACAGCACAACAAAATAGCTACAACACAATGGAAACAAGTCGCAACACAACGAAATTGGCACAACACAATGGAAATGGTCCCGTGTCAGACTTTTGTACCTGTTTTGCCCCCGTAGTCCTTCCTGTGTTTCCTTATTTGGTCATTTTCCTGTCCTCTTTTAGTCTGATTGTCTTATGTGATCCACCTGTGTGTCTCCAATTATCCCTAGCATTTAAGCTCCTGTCTTTGCGTTTCTCCTGTCGGGTCTACTTCGTCTGTACATGTGTCATTCCTTGCTCCTGTGTTGGATTACCCCAGTGTTTCGTGAATGAAAAAGACAGTGTAAGCGTCACACTATGTACACAAACTATATTTGCTACTTTTTAAACGCGTGAGCTCCTCTTTAATAAATATGACGCATCTTCTTTTTAAGCGCTTTTACAGTTGAATGAGCCAAGGGATTTAAAGCAGGGTGTAATGATCTAACAAAATCCAAATTTTGATATCCAATATATTTTCACAAACCCTTAAAGTTTCTATGAGACAATACATTATATATCACCCCATATCACGGCCATTTCAATAATGGAGTGTTTACATTAAGTGTAAATAACCAGCCTTTTTGACATAAGCTATTTACACTAACTACGCTCACCAATGTCTGGTTGGGCCACACAAAATTAAAAATGATTTAGTCTAACTTGCTCTTCTCCTTTTTCCCATCACATATCAGACCAGAAAAGCATTTACTTTCAATATAGAAAATATTTGAAAAGTGGAAATAATGTGCATAAAGAGTGTTTAATAATGAAGTATATTGGGGTTAGGGGTATAGGTGTATGGAGGGCTTAATTGTCCCAATAGCGGCATCTATATAATATTTTTAATAAATATAATAATTTACACTCTACATTACTATTGCATCCTGTTATTGTAAAACAAAACTGAGGTGATAGACTATAGCCTATAAATAATATCTAACAACTATTTACACGTATTGAAAAGAAAATACATATTGTTAATATAATCTATTTGTGTAAAAAGTGTATCCATAAAATGCTTTCTATTGTCAATTCGTTTGATCATTACCTCTGGTATAGGGTCCTTAGATTTAACGCACCCTTTATAGTGGCCAAGAAAGGGAGCGGGAGCATTTCCGTTGTGTTGTGGCTTGTTTCCATTGTGTTGTGCTAATTTCATTGTGTTGTGCACTACTGGGCCACCGTAGTTGACATCATAAAGGTGCTCCATTTTGTGAAAATGTGATCTGAAAAAGCATCATATACAGTATAACAATCTTGTGTCATAAATTGTTGAAAAGATCCTCAAGTAGCAGAATACAAGAAGTATATTTGTTTCAGTTAGAGACCAAACTATACTGGGTTTTTGAATGAAAATCTCCACAGACACACATGTAAACAGTGTACACATGAGCAGGCCCGTTGCTAGGCATAGGCAAACTAGTCGGTCACCTAGGGCGCCACCAGCAGGAGGGGGAGCCAATGAGCACAAATACTTGCCCTACATTTAGCAGGGTTGTGCCAGTACAGTAAAATTAGCTAATTCAGAAGATCAATACATCCTTCATTAAACTGCTTTGTCGAATTTAACGCATCCTTATGGAAGTGTCGAAATGCTGAATCAATTCATTCACTTCTAACAGCGCTTAATGAGAGCAGCGTCATACACATAGAGGGCAGAGCGTTGCGTCATTTAAAGGGGAACTCAAACTAGTAAACTTAATTTAATTATTATTATTTCTATGTTTTATTGTGGTGTTTACAAAAACCCTCAGATCACTTGTTTGAAGAGGTTTTGGGACTTTTGATAAAAGGCTACCAAGGTTCCAAATGCCATAACTTTTGATTGCTTTGAGATACAAACACAAAATTGTGCCCAGATGCAGTGAATGTGATTGTGAACAAGATCAGCCTTGATTCTATGACCTTTTATACTGTATATTCTAATAGTAATCATGTCAAACATGCATAATAACAAAAATTACTACATGTAAAAGGCATCGCTTTTTCTGGTGTTTAGCAGTGTTGTAATGAGAGTAAGAGTCTCCAAACATGATAAAAACATATTCTTTTGACATTTGTATTCACTTCCTAACCATGCAAATAATGCTACCTTGTTTTTTTGTAGAGTTATAAGTCCTTATTTTTAAGTATGCCACTTAGACGTGAAATGATCAAAATGCCTTTAGGATGTAAGGGTTTAAAATAATGTTACAAATTCACAAAGTTTGGCAATGCTGACATAACAATGGCTATTCCCATTGCTATAGCCATGAGAAGTACTGCTCTAGAATACACTACATTATTACAATTAAGGTTTTTACATTTTAGGACATTATTAGGGAAATTACTAAGTATTGTTTTAAATCATGGGTGCTCAATCCTGTTCCTTCTTGCAAACCAACCACTGGCACTTCTGTATTTGTTTGCATCTAAGATTTCTGTCTGTTTACCAGGTTGTTTGGTTTGACAGCGCTCATCCAGACCAACATGTCAGAACCGTATATCCTGGCGCTGAATGAAGATGGTAGTTGGCCTGCAATGGTTAACCCACTGGTGCTCCTACTGCTGTATTTTTCAGTCATGAGTTTACTACAAAAGTGGACTCAGTCTTTTGAGGAGGTAATATAATGCACTTCACACATGCAGCCACAAAAACATGGTAGGTGTCCAAAGCTGCTCCTGGAGGGCCATCTTTCTGCAGAGTTTAGCTCTAAAACACCTGCCTAGTAATCATGAAGTCCTTGATTAGTAAGGTAGCACTCTTTGAGCAGGACTGGTCACCAACTGGTTGCGGGTACAAGGAGAAATAGTGGAGGCAGAATCTAATCGCAGCTGTGTAGTTAATTATCCCATTATAAAATCATGCAGGGGCACAAAGAACAAAGTTTTAACAATCTAACATTAACACAAAATTCAGAAAACCAGACAAGAACAGACAATGAACAACTAAGGGCAAACAAGGAACTAAATCAGGCACAGATGAAAAAAGTGGGTTGCTATGACATCAATGAGATCAAACTAGGGATGAGAGCTAACCAAGGAAACAGGAACTAAACAAAAGAAACACAGAGACTAAAACTAGAACCAGGCATATCTAGAGGGAAGGAGGTACAGGGCGACACTGCAGGACCGAGGTGTTGTCAGGGAATCTGGTGCAGAGGACCAAGGTGCAGCTGGGGGCTTGGAAGGCCGAGGTGGAACCTGTGGGGCCGAGGATGAAGGTGGAGCTAAAGGGAAGCAGGAGCCCAGCAAAGCCAAAGGTACCAGTGAAGCTGACAGAGCCAGGAAGCCGGGCGGAGCCAGCATAGACAAAGAAGCCAGGAGACTGGACGGGACCAGCGAAGATGAAGGAGCCAGGACGTTGGACAGGACCAGCAGAGAAGGAATGTCCAGGGAAGTGCTCGGGAGCAGAGCATCCAAAAGGCTAGATGGAACCAGCAGGAAGAGAGCCATCTTGGGGGTGGGAACATGGGCAGGAACATAGTCCTGAGAATCCAGCTCTATGAGCTCCGGGGAAAACAATTCAGTGAGTGCCAGCTCTGTGACAGGTGTGGCAGCAGGCTCTGGCTACAGAATCCATGGCTGGCATAGGCTTGGGATTGTCAAGGGGCTGGATGGGTTCAGTTGGTCGTGTGCTGATGCTGAGAGGTCAAGATGATCCTTCCTTTCACCAGTCAGCACCCAGTCGAAATACTGGCGAAACATCATATGAATAGAAATTACATTTCAGTGACAAATGCTATGTTTAGAAATTTTACATTCAAAGTTTAATTAGGTAGCTTATCACAAACAGCAGCCAATCAGCAAACAAGAAACATTCTTATTAATTATTCCAGTGGAAAAACTTTAACTTAAATATCTGGTTTGTTTAGCGATATACATTTTAATATCTTGTTAGGATTCTAGATGCTAAGTTCACAGAATTTCGGCAGCTGCAAAACAAAAAGCTGACAGAAACAGCAAGTAAACAGTTGTTGCTATGGAAATGTATACCATCTCATCTAATCACACTGGTAGGGTAAAACCTCACAGTTTACAGCAGTGCGATTTAGATGAGACAGTGTACATTTCCATAGCAACAACTGTTTACTTGCCGTTGTAACAACGTTCGTAGTACGAGAAGAAGGAGGCGGGAACCGGCGAACGTTCCAACAAAACTTTAATAAAATAAACACAAAATGAAAGTAAAGCGGCAGCCCCTCGCGGACGACTGCCGCACACAAAACACAAAATAAAGTCCAGGCCTGGTCCTCTCTTGTCTTTCACTGTCGTAACTCCTCCTTTTATCCTTCCGGAGCTCCTCCGTGGGACTCGAGACCGGTGAGTGGTGCAGGTGTCGCTCATTATCAATTACTCCAGCGGCCTCGCTCCGTTCCCACGGCTCTCGGCCCCACCCCCACTCGTCACATACCCCCATCACCCCTCGCAGGCCAGGGGTACTCCCGAGACTGCACTCTACTCCCCCCTCCGGGGGAGCCGATCACGGCAGCTGCGGCGTACCTGGGGGTAAGGACAGACAGACGAGGCGAGAGAAAAGGAGACGGAAGGATGAGGAGAGACAGATACGAGAGAGGGGAGAGAGAAAAAGAAAAAAAATTAAATTATCAGTCCGGTTCCCGGACACACTGCCGCTTGGTCCTCAACCGGCTGAGAGGCTCTCACTCGCGGTGCCATGCGATGGTACTGGACATCGTTGGTGGACGGCCCACCGCTCCTCCGCCTCCTGGCGGACGGCGATGGCTCATCCTGTTGAGGGCAGCCGGCAGCGAGTCGCCCATTCCCTGCTCCTCCCCAATCATGGCGGACGGCAGCAGGCTCCGGCCTCCTGGACATCGTTCCAGCACCACCGCCTCGGGCAGCCACCGGCGGTCTCCTCAGCAACGCGATCCCCCCTCAGCAGCGAGGGCTCTCCCTCCTTCCTCCCGGGTTTCGGCACCAATGTAACAACGTTCATCAAAACAAAATAAAATTCAGGCCTGGTCCTCTCTCGTCCAACACTTGTCACGGTGCGTGTGGAGAGATGAAGCAAGGACTCAAGTGCAGGATGAATGGTTCCTTCTTTTAATAATAAAATGAAACAAAAACAAACTAGAACCACCCCGAGGGGGAAAAACAGACAGGCAGGCTCGGAACTGCAATCTGGTGGCCATCCTGGGCACACCCGCTGAAGACTGTGACAACACTGTCATCACTCCTCCTTTTATCCTTCCGGGGCTCCTCCGTGGGACTCGAGACCAGTGAGTGGCGCAGGTGTCGCGCATTAGCATTTCCTCCACCGGCCTCGCTCCGTTCCCACGGCTCTTGGCCCCGCCCCTCTCGTCACAGCCGTTTCAGTCAGCTTTTTGTTTAAAAGCACATTGAACACACTGTAATTCATTGTTCTGTCTACACTGGATGCACCATTTCGTTGACAGTAAACACAAGTAATAATTATTTTTGACATACTCCACACCCTTGTGCTTAAAAAGGCAAAAGGACAAATCGATTTTTAATGTTTGCTTTGATGTGTCCAGTGTAGAAATGGTGTTAGAATGTTGCAAAACTTCTATTGCAAGTAGTTAAAATATTTCAACTTGTCTCGTGGTGAATCTTTGGTGTAAACTCACATTAAACAAATGCCTTCAAGAACCCCTCAATGCAGGAAAGTGACCCTCCAACAGCAAGACTTGACACCCCTGCTCTAGAATATCCCAAAGGCTCTAGCACAGCGCTTCTTAATCCTGGTCCTGGGGACCCCACGCTCTGCACATTTTGCATGTCTCCCTTATTTAACACATCTGATTCTGATCGTCTGCTCGTTACGAGACACCTCCATGAATTGAACTGAGTGTGTCAGATAAGGAAGACATACAAAATGTGCAGAGCTGGGGGTCCCCAGGACCAGGATTAAGAACCACTGTTCTAGCATATCCAATGTTTAACCTCTGGAGATCCTATAAACTCTGGACTATATTACTTCAACTATTATTGCTAGGAGTTACTATACCATGGAGTAAACCCATTTAACATGGATTTGATTTAATTTTGCAATCCAAAAATATTGCTTAAACAAAAAATGTATAATTTTTTATGAGGTTGTGTTCATGTTTATTTATTTGTCTGCATTAGTAACCTAAATATATACTATGTTCAGGAAAATGTGGAACGTTATGCTGACGCCGCCAGCATTCTATCCAGCTTATCCAAAAGTCACCATTTCTCTCCTGAAAGAAAAGAGGTAAGGTATAATGTATCAATAACATCTCATTGCCAATATATTCACAGGGCAGGCACCAGGATGAGGGTTGAGAAACACTGCCATTAGTTGATGGTTACAAGCAGTAGACTCTTATTTACTACATAGTTATTAAGTCGATGACATAACTCCTCCTGAAGTTTATACTATAGTGCTTCATCATGCTTGTGAGGTAGGTATTTATTATCTATAATATATCAGCAAGAGAACACAATAACAGAATTCTAAGCATAGTGCGCAAAGGATACTCAGTAGTCTGCCTAATTTTAACTCTTGTTCCAAGTCCAAGATGATTCATACCATTTGTAAGGCACCTTGTGTTCTGGGTATATGCATGGTGTTAAGTGGTACACTTTTACCGTTTCTTTTAATGGAAACCCACACTTTTTCCTTCAATCTTAACAATAGTAAAAGGTTTCAGTCTGGTTTTGTCCATTTTTCCTCACTTACATTGCTTCTGGAGTAGGGGAGAGTGGGGTAAGTTGACCCACCCCCTGTATCTTGGCAACTGTTCACTTTTACTGTCATGTGACCATGTATTTTGGAACCACCCATCATTTCTGCCAGACTGTAAAAAGGAGAAACACAAACTTTAAAAACTTTTTTTGGGTAGCACTTTATTTTACAGTATGTGTATTTCCCTTTGTACCTACAGGCAAATGAGTGGTAACACAAGGTACTTACCTGACGTGTATGTACATGGTAATAAATAAGAAACACGGCTGTACTTAACATGGTAATTATTTTTTACAAATATTGTATGTATTCTCTCTGGTGACAACTGAGCGGGCAGACAGTTCATAAGTAAGATCACTGACCAAAACTGGACAAGCAGACAGTTCAAAATTTGACTAATTGACTGGAACTGGACAGGAAGACAGTTCATAAATGGGTTTACAGATTGAAACTGAACAAGCAGACAATTCTAAATCAGGCTCTTTGCTCGAAACGGAACAGACGTATGGTTCAAAATTATACTCATTGACTGAGACAGGATAGATAGACAGTTCAAAAACAGGCTTACTGACTGAAACTGGACAGGCAGAGAGTTCATAAACTGTCTCACAGACTGACACTGGACAGTGTAAGGAATTTAACTCATTAATTCTTATAAGGGAATTAATCATTAATTTTATTTCTAGCTCAGGTTTTGAGAGGACTCGAATCTGAAAATTCGAAGTCAACCTGATTAAAACTGATTTCAAATTTGATATTTTACACTTTATCAGCTACTCGTCCAGCGAGACGTTAATGTCAGTGTATATTAACAATTTGACTATATGTATTTTCCCCGGCCACGGGTTAATACGTTCTTTGATAAGTTATACGCTACGAGCTAGGTAGCAAGATCTTGGCAAGGTTTGACTTCAAAATTATACGACACCAGACAATGATTCTTTATAAATGAAACATGAATTTATTGGCTATTCTAAATTACATTGACCTAAGCTAAGACATACACATACACACACACATACATAACGCAAGGTAGCTATATGTCTTCCTAAAATGACAGAAGTTTTTCTGAAATTTCCTGTCGGTTGGAGCCCTGGTGCCTCCTTATCTGGTTTCGATGGACCCATCGAAGGACTGGCTTGCTGCGTCCTTGTCTGATTTTTATTCGATAGGCAACAGGTGAGAGCTTGTCCACAATCTCATGGGGTCCTGTACAGTGAGGAAGGAATTTCTTTGACAGGCGATGGGGAGCGTTCTGGCTTGGTTGGG